ATCGTTCATACAATAGTTCACGATCGTATATGCGATTATGTGATTGAGCCATTAGTTCGCAATGAAAGGGATACGTATCAATAAGACATCCGTACCGACTTCGATGCTGACGATGCTTCGCCCACTAAGCGGTCGCCTAATCGCCTTCTCCTCTACTCGCCTAATCTCCTATTGGCCTGATGAATAGGTGTGCTTTCAATCCTGATCGCATATAGTGCGATCACGAACCAGGAGCGCCGCCTAACCAGCACTGCTCCATTTAAACTCATAACTTGGTATGTCGGTTTGTGTGTATGTGTGTAGTGTTATGTATATGTATGTCATGTTTATATGTATTTATGTGCGCATGTATGTACAATATATCACCCAATAGATGGGAGTGAATCTGTGCTACACTTATATCGCAACAATCTGATATTTCAAACCCGGAAAAACTTAGCACTCACTATATCCAACCTGAATAATACCTGCTCAGCATTTCACACTACTTAGCGCTTCACACATTTTGGTGACCCGATAAGCCTTGTTCTCAGTCACTTCAGGATAGCAACCTTGAGCTCCCAATTACTGCACTCCTCGTCCCCAAAAATTCTGTTGTAGTAACCATAATGCTACCGTAATTTCCGTATATATCGAACTGATTTTGTCATATATTGTGGGCAGTCGCATCAATTTTTTGTCATACCCCACATAAGTGCGAATGTAAAAAGGATTATATGAAGTAACGAATTACGTAACAGAGGAACCATTAGAGTGAATAGGTAACAGTCCGTGAAAGAAAAAACATGCATGTTTTTTCCAGGACTTTCTTAAGAAAAACGACGACATCGACGAGGAGGCACTCGCAGGTGCTGCCAAGGTAACGATTTTCTGTTAAGCACCTAAGTCACTTAGATTTGCCGCAATACACCTTACTTTGCGAATATTCTACTGGTCACAGTCAGCGCTGCTAGTTTTGCAAAAAGCCCGAGGTCAATCGTTGGGCCACGTTGCACGCCGCCTCTGATTGATGTTCCTCGGCACGTGTCAGTTCTGCCTTAGTCCAAGTATGACGATAAGGATCCCATACTCAGTCGTATGGTAGAGTCTCAGTGGAGTGCACACCGCTTTCGCACGCATATCATGCTCAAAACGAATTGTCACAAATATAATTTAGGAGCCTTGAGGCACCAATTTGTAAGCTGCGCATCCGTAGTGCTAGAAGGGTGGACTTCTCATATATCCCTAACTTTGCATATTATCACCTTGTTTCCGTTACGGAAAACTTGAGCAAGACCATGCTCTTGTCTCTCTCTAAATTGAAAACACGATGGAACAACTGAATAGAGAATCCGAGTGGTGTGCCGGACTTAGCATCGTCCTAACAGGCTCTTTGAAGTTGTCCTTGTAGTATGCCGTAATGAATTTTGAGATTCTCCGCTTCCCCTCCCCTACTGATCAGTGTTGGGCTCAGCTATCGCAACACGTTCAAGTGCCAATGCCAATATCTCAAACGGTAGCAACGATGATGCAATTCCATGGTCAAAAGTAGCAAATGTTATTACTCCGCGCATTCGGCGTCATGGCAAGGCACCTATTTATGAAAGCATTACTGCGTTTAAATGATTTACGGCAGCCAACATGTTCGCGTAGCGCATAATGAAGAATACATCATAAGTATGGAAGCACTCTGAGAATTGTCGCAAGCAAACTTCAGAAAAGGTCAAATTGAAGAGTCCGCGCAGTTGTCAGATCATGTCGATGAGCGTTTGCCTGTTAGCTTCCACATAAATTGGTGAAAAATTGAACGTTTTTTCAAAAGTAGGTTGCTCCTACGGCTGTATCGAAAGTACAACACATTATTTAAATTCATTTAAAACAGGAAAGTTCAAAAGGATGCCGAATAAAAAGCCATCGCCTAGCACGGAACAATTTAATCATATCATTAAATCCCACCAGGTTCATTTTCATTCAAAAAGTAGCAGCTTCAAATTCACGCCGTGCACAGCGCAGTCTGAGAGCCTCGCTCTTCTGAGGATATAGGATGTGTTAAGGTCGCACGAGAATTCCTGCAAGCATATTGAATCGTATGGCAGGCCGGAGGAGTGAGGAGGCCGGACTGGACGGCTTGCCTCGGTTTCCGTTATCATGGTCATCGATGTTCAGAGAAGTTTACTGTTTCCTTTCCGAAGCAAGCCATTTTAATGATCACCTTGTTTGGTCTTTTTTCCTAAGATTAAACAGCGAAATAGCCAATTTGGACGTCGATCTCATAAGGCTTCCTGAGACAAACTTCTTCATAGCATTGATATCTTTTGGCAGGAATATATTCAACATTGTCCGCAAACACGGACGGTTACCACTGGAAATTCCTCTACAAAGGGACGAAGCATGTTCAGCAAGCAACATGAGTGGCGGCAATGTCCACCGATTGATTGGAATTCTACGCATGCGGAAAGCAAAATAAAACCTTCACTGACAAATGCATGAATCCAACTAACTACCAAAACCTACTGGGATGCCATCTGCTGCTGCTGTCCTGTTACTTCGAATCAGGGTTGATTAATCGGCAAAACATGACAGCTAGACGTGCTAGTTTATTGAACCTACATTTGCAGCACTATCGCAGCTGTCTGCGTGAGCTCGCTGAAAAAGTAGCGATAGAGGTAAAAACGTAGGTTCAATAAATTAGCACGTTTGTTATCGTGACTTATTCATTATTAGGAGCATTTGAGCGTGCAGGGTTGGAGTTGTCATGATTATGGACGACTTTTTGACGTGCGCATGCACTCACTAATGGTGTCGTTTGGGTTGATAAGTTTTGCTCAATTCTGTGAACTCATTGCTGAACAGCAGTTCTTGAGCCCCTGTAAGATACCATCTTTACCTCCAATACAGCCCAAGTAGCGACCAAGCCTTGAAAAACTATCTTTTCGCTCTCCTTCTCCCTAGCCTTTTCCCGCGCAGTCGCAGGGTCCGCTAGCTTTGTCAGCCGTCGCCATGTTGTTCTATCCAGGGCATCTTCTGCTGTGGCCCTGACTTCAGTTAGGTCCTTCTTGATGACGTCTTTCCACCTCTTCTTTGGGGCTCCTCGCGGTCGCTTGCCTTGCGCTTCGAAGTCCATTGCTGTTCTTATCGGATGATCCTGTGGCCTCCTTAGCACGTACCCATACTATCGCAGTCGTTGTTCCATTCCAGGCCCAGGCATTTTTTCTCTAATTTAGACGAAAGCTGGTAGGCAAATGTGTATCGGGATGCTAATTCTGATGACGGCACGCATTTTTGATATTAACTTCTCTGAAATTTGATGATGGCAGTTGTGAAGAGTGCGTCTACTCTTACGATAGGCGCAGTATTATTTCACACTTAGAAACTACCAATGCACATGCTCGGAAAGCAAGATTTGGATTCTCGTTGGAGCAAAGTATTTGTCCATTACCAATATCCATAGTGATGGAAGGTGTTGAGATTACAAGTGAAGATGGGCGTGTGTAGCTACGACTAAAGACACAATTATGAAAGAGTCGTGATAGGAACTCGATTGCTGACTGATCAGAATGGAAAGCTTGCTGGTTCCAGACGGAAGTTGAAAATGGTCCAGTGTCCGCGTTGCACAATGACAATCGGTCCAGATGGGCAGCTACGATAGTATCCTCTAAGGTTGTAGATATTTTTTGAGAATGTTTTTATGGATTGTTTCACAATTTCTCATCCGTGCATGAATGATGCATATTATTCAAATAGAGTATTTAAATTTACCAGATTCGCATCTCAATAAGGAACTTCGCTCATGCACATTCATAGACGCTTTTCATGAAATTTTTCAGTAAAGGCTTATTAAACAAACGTTTTAGCATAGAAATTCCACCGCACGGTAAATGCAACTACTATCACTTTTCAGCCGATCAAAATACTCTCAAAGGAATTTGCTACCAACAAGAAATATAAGCCACCCGAATATACTACGGAAGCCTACGATAAAAATGAGCCAAAAAACAGGTAAATTGCTTTTCGTTATATTCCATTTAGTATTGCTTATAGAACTTGATTACTAAACCACTTGGTTGCCTTAGGCTAGCCTACCAATACAATTTCTAAAAAGAAAAGTCCAGATCCGAGCAAATTTGAAATCTATGGAGTGCAAATTCTTAAGTTTCCGAATTCGTTCCAGAAATTTTCAAGGGCCAAAAGCTTTTGCATGTTCTTGTCTTTCTTCTTCTGACACCAGCGAACGGAAATGAGCCCTTGACGGCAACTTGAAATGATAACGATAACTCGAAATGGGTCAAATGAGTGAATGAGGGCTCGTGCGCTAGATAGCTTACCAAGGCGAGTGATTGTCCAGTGGCGCTCTCCGTATTTTAGAGTTTGGTTGATATACTGCTGTTGATAAATTACCAGAATATAACGGCTTTAACAATTAATTTAGAGCACACCACGTTTGGTGAAGCGCTTACAGGAGAAACTTCAGGTACAATGACATTATTTGTATCGATTCAACGCGTGTCGTTCTGAAAGACAGACCGTCGGATGATGATTATATTCACGCAAGCTGGATGACAATGCCCGACCAATTTAAGTACATATGCACGCAGGTAAAATAATTCCTGCATAATACGAGATTGTTTGTTCTCGCACGATCCTACAATAGCTTTTTCAAGTTCCAGTGCTTCCACTATGGATAGTGGAAGTGACAGGTGAAATGCTGTCACTTAAATCCAACCTTTCAAGATTGCTTGCCAAAGTTTAATGTTCATTTTTGGAGGATGGATTCAAATGTGATTGAAAATATGATTACTAAAGAGGTGGTGCACTGATAACTCGCAACCGCAAAAGTGTTAGGCGATCTCCTGATTCAACAAATTCCATCGAGTTCACAAGCGTGCGAGAGAGTCCTATACTCTTTCATACAACAAGTTTCGTTTTCCTGCAACAGACAAGGCTTCTCTTTCCCTACGGAAGCTTAGCGTCCCGCTGTGCGCTTTACCACTTGTAAATCGTAGAGGAAACGCTGTGTATAATTCTTGCATATTGAAGGGTCATATCGAAGTCGTGATCACGTTAGAATGGTAGCTCAACCACGGTGTAAGTGCTTATCAATAGGTTAAGACTAGCTAAAACTTAAATTTAGCGGATGGACCATTAAACATACCCATCCTACCTACTATAAAGCGCTTCGTCTGTCGTCTGTCGTTCTGTCTGTCGTTCTGTCTGTCGTTCTGTATGTCTGTCACGAAATTCCCTAGCTCCTCGGGATCCGCCTGGAGGGACCGGGTCAAGTGTGGGATGGGTGGGCAAGGTCTCACGAAGTACAAAACACACATCAGCTAAGCGGAGCCCCGCCCACAGTGGGCGTGGCGTGCGTCGAAATGAAGTGTACTGACGACCAAGATTTTCGATT